CCAAATAATAATATACCCTCAAAGCGAATATTTTTAAACTATTTTGTTTTCTTCTAATGCGTAGGTAGATAGTTTTAGTGGTTGGCTTGAATTATTCGACTTTTGTGGACGTTCTTAAATGGCTGAATCTGCTTTCACAAATTTGGGATTATTTTCCAATACTTACAAAAGATTCAAAAATAGAAATATAATACAAAATTGTATGGAAAAATTTTAGTTTTAATGTGACCTGTCACTTAATTATTATTAGGGAATATAATGCTGTTGTAAATATCCTAAATGTGCGGGGTATCGCCTAATTGAAATCAAGAGGTTTAGGTGTTAAAGCCTGATTTTATTAATGTTAACGTTAAGTACCCTGTAAGCATTTATCTGCTAACAATTAATATGATGGAAAATTAATTTATTTTAGAAAGTTCGTGCGTAGGACATGTTTGCTATTAAGAGATTTATATTTACTGGCTTGGGCTTTAATTACGATCCATCCTAATTTAATCGAAAGCTCTCCTCACGCGCCACCCCATCCCTATTGTGTTAACATCACAATGGGGATCATATGTCAATATATAATAGGATGATGCTAAAATGAGAATTTGCGAAATTCGCAAATAGTGAGACGCTGTTTACGCAAGAGTATTTTGAGTTTGTAATTATTCACGTTAATACAGGACGAATCAAAAGCTTCCAGTGCTAAGAGAACATGTAATTGTCTACTACATTAAACCTGTAGGCTGGCTAACCAGCTAAAAGATGCCTTATCAATTCAGGAGGATGCACAATGTGCCTGATGAGGCTTAAGTGCTATTTTTATTACTTATAATATATTTTTCCATGAACGCATTTAAAAAAATCTAAATTTACTGTCGATATAATATTCACCAGCAGAAATTAATTTCCTTTGGGTAATGATTTAATCTCGAATAGATTCCGCATAACAATACATGCCTCAGGACAACAGACATACTCCTGTTATCAAGTCATGCATCAATTTCGAGATATCCACGTCAGAATCTCTGCCTCTGCCGGGGATACTTCCTGTCGAGGATAATTTATGATCTTGACAAAATAGAAAGCATCTTTTGCAATAGCAAACTAAGTAGCGCTTCGATTTTTTCGTTCGTATAATTTTTCTTAAAACTAGGACGTGAATTTTCCGAGATTTTTTTCTAGAATTTATACAATGCTAAATAAAGTAGTTCAATATGATGGAAGCAATACTCAGTCTCCTTATAGTGGGTGGCATAAAATTGATCAAAAAAGATTTGATCGAATTAGAAATTTGATCGAATGGCATTTGATCGAAAATAAATTTAATTGAATAACATTTGATCGAAGATATATTTTATCGAATAACATTTTAACGAAAAGACAATAGATCGAAAATTCATTAGATCGAAAAGACAATATATCGAAAATCAACTTTAAAAAAATTCAAACGATACCATGAAACCGTCAGTCTAATCCCTACTACCGGGGAAACTAAACTCAGCGGCTATCTTATTAGGTACTAATGGCAAATTTTTCGATAATCTCATAGCTACCTCGTTTAACAAATTTTTGTACCACTATTAGTGCCGCTCTTGTTTTGACATCTGAGCATGCACAGATCACTTACATTCCAGAACTGACTTTAATAAAGATTGTGCCTGTCCTTAATTGTGGATGTTTAGGGGCAGCAGTTAGTGGCGACTTTATAGTTTTCGAGTGCGCTCGCCAAAATTGGTATCAGTTCAAAGTTTTTTAATATTAAATATTTAATATCATCGTCATTTAAATCTTCTTAAATGGTAATTTCTAATTCCTCTTCCATATTATGTACTATTATAAACAACAAAAAAGATGAATTGTAATTTAAAATTTTTAAAATGAGATTAGAAATACGTATAAGGACAAGGACACAAATGTCAAAATTTCAGGTTTGCAATAAGTCTTATATGGAATTTATTTGCCTCTAATTACGTTGTCACTATTAGTGGCTGGCGTTATAGAAATTTGCAATAACTATCTAATATTTATTTGACAATAATTTTAAGTGCTGTCCAATCTGATTGCATCCAACGACTATGGTGCAAAGTATAAATCACACTTCGAGCATATATATTTCATAGAGTCCGCATTCGATAGCGTTTGTTTGGGTTAAGAGGGGAAATAGGTAGACACTATTTCCAGTGTCTTATCATTTTTACGGGGTTTGCAATTAATGTACATAAAAAATTTGATACATACCCTTAAAATTCTTTAAATTATGCACATATTTTATAAACTTGCATTATTTAAGTAGGTATCTAGTAATAGTAAATTATTATTTATTATTATTATTATTATTATTATTATTATTATTATTATTATTATTATTATTATTATTATTATTATTATTATTATTATTATTATTATTATTATTATTATTATTATTATTATTATTATTATTATTATTATTATTATTATTATTATTATTATTATTATTATTATTATTATTATTATTATTATTATTATTATTATTATTATTATTATTATTATTATTATTATTATTATTATTATTATTATTATTATTATTATTATTATTATTATTATTATTATTATTATTATTATTATTATTATTATTATTATTATTATTATTATTATTATTATTATTATTATTATTATTATTATTATTATTATTATTATTATTATTATTATTATTATTATTATTATTATTATTATTATTATTATTATTATTATTATTATTATTATTATTATTATTATTATTATTATTATTATTATTATTATTATTATTATTATTATTATTATTATTATTATTATTATTATTATTATTATTATTATTATTATTATTATTATTATTATTATTATTATTATTATTATTATTATTATTATTATTATTATTATTATTATTATTATTATTATTATTATTATTATTATTATTATTATTATTATTATTATTATTATTATTATTATTATTATTATTATTATTATTATTATTATTATTATTATTATTATTATTATTATTATTATTATTATTATTATTATTATTATTATTATTATTATTATTATTATTATTATTATTATTATTATTATTATTATTATTATTATTATTATTATTATTATTATTATTATTATTATTATTATTATTATTATTATTATTATTATTATTATTATTATTATTATTATTATTATTATTATTATTATTATTATTATTATTATTATTATTATTATTATTATTATTATTATTATTATTATTATTATTATTATTATTATTATTATTATTATTATTATTATTATTATTATTATTATTATTATTATTTGTGTTGGACATATCAGATTTTTTCAGAAAGTGTATAAAGAAAAAGTGAAGATTGAAATATTAGGCAATAAAAAAGATAAAGAGCTTATGTTTAAAAAATCAAAAATATAAAAATAATAGGTATATTATACAAATATTTATGATATCTATTAACACACATGTATGAGAATTACAATAAAAGAAATTTTTCCAATAATTTATTAAATATAAAAATAGTGTTCGTAAACAATGTTCAATAGATTACTAAACAATATACTACAAATAGAAATCAAGCTAATCTCGTACTTAGGTTATTAGGTACATTTGCACTGCCAGTCGTTAACAAATAAGTGAAGCTTAATTTTTATTGGAAAACTGTCTTAAGCTTCGATTATTTTATGACTAGAATTACAAATAAAAGAAGCTTAAAATGACCTTTTTATAGAAAAACACAAATTAGGCTTTGCTTATTTCTTAACGACTAGCAGTCTACTTAATTAAAGAACATAGGTATATTTAAAAAAAAATTATTATTGTCAATTTTTGTGGTTTATAAAAAATATAGGTAGTAATATGTAAGTATTTGAAAATAAATTTTTTGTTGTATTAAAAATTACTTAGTTTTACATGTTTTCTAATTCTGCATTTTCTTTTTCTGCACCGGAAGCTTTATGGTTCAGATTACCACTAAAAAATTAAAAATTTTGAACGATTAACCCACAAGAAAAGTGCAGGGTTCTTTACCTTTTAAATTCATCTTCTTCTAAGGCCTCAGTAAGTCATGATGGCAATGCACCTGGAATTAATCTAGTTCTTTCTCCGCATCCAGTCTTTAATATAAACATATATCCAGAAAAATGATTGGACCATAAAACATCACTATTTGAAATGTTTTCTGGAATAAGTTTCAATATGTTTCACCAAATGCGTTTTTCGGCAGTATTAGTTGGAAATCTATAAAAAACAGAAATTAATGATTTAACATCTTCAACATTATCAAAATAAAATGACTTGTTTATATTGAAAAATTATGATTAATTTTTTTAACTTTTTAGTAAAGTCCAAAATCTAAAACAATATTCCTCAAACAAAATACAAGTTCTTTAAATTGAATTCACTAAATTTACCATTTATTTTAAATTTTGCATAAAATGTAGGTACTTATGTTTCTTTTAAAAAATGGTAGAGACGCTGATGGTTACTTACTTGTGAAATGATCTTGACGATACCTTTTCGTATTTCTATTTAAAACTTACATAAACTTTCACCATTGTTAAAATTTGTATCACTAAAGTAATAAAATATAAAAAATCACTTATAAACTACAAAAATAATCCGGAAATTAATGAAAATCAAAAATTAAATGACAGTTCTGACAATTTCGAACCATTTGACATGCCAAGCAAAATGAAACAGACCAATGGGAATGCTGGACACTATTTTCCCCCCTGTACCAAATCAAAATCAATTTGGACGATGGCTCTAGTAATATATGCTCGAAGAAATCACACCATTAAAATTTGGCGTTCACATTTTGATTTCGGCAACTGTAATTTCATTCACACAATATATTAAGGTCCGTAAATTTAAAAAATTAAATTATTGAATAAGTTATAATAATAATAATACTCTCCATTTTATTCGTACGTTTATTTATTAAAAAAAAAATGTTGATATCATATAAAAATAAAATCATATTATTATGTAAGTATATTTATTCTTCCTTCTATTACCTTCATTATTAAATCAATCTGATTTTAAACTTTTTACTTCACTTTTTTGCCAATATTTGACTTTCAAATTTCCAAATAAATTAGCAACTGTACAGACCAGCTATGTCTTACTGCATATACTATTTATGTGTCACTCATCACAATTTCAAACAATTCTAAAAATGGTCTATATTAGTCCTAACTAAGTTACTATTTTCATCAATTTCTATGAAAAAAGTTTTAACAAGTCCGTATTTTCCTTTGACTATTATTTCTCCTCTTTCCTTACAGCAATAACCTAGTTTCTGAACGATATCTGCTGTGTTTTCCATGACTTGGATATGATTCGGTAAACCCGTACTGTCCATTCTAGACGCCATATTAACAGGATCACCCCAAATGTCGTACAATGGTTTTTTACTTCCCACTACCCCAGCTGCTATTTTTCCATGACTAATTCCTGCAGAAGAAGAAAATATTACACCGAATCCTAAATTTAATTGATTCGTTCTTACCTATTCTTAACTTTGATTTCTGGAAATGTACCTTGTTGACGTGTTCCAATTTTTTGAACATTTCTGATGCGAAGTTGAGCAACGTCTCAAGACTGGCACTGGTTTGATGCCTCTCTATTTCATTAGCTCTACCGCCAGGAAATAATCCACAGGCCACCATGTACGTCCATTTTGCAATTTTGATTTTTTCAATACTTTGAAATTCCTGTCTGTTGGTCAACTATTGGAGATGTCAAAAAAAAATATATCAATTACAAGTATTAAATTAAAAATTTAAAAAAATCGACTTCAAAAGTGTGCAGATGCCATATGGGACCACCCCTGAGGTACCCCCTTACTAACAAAAAAAAAAAAAGAATTATAAATCGGACAAAGCGGTAAAGCATTATCGCTAAACGAACGTAAAAAATGAAGAGTTTGAAAATTTTCTCATGGATCCAATTATTAGATTTTGATCAAATTTATATGGGACCACCCCTGAGGTACCCCCTTTCTAAAAAAAAAGAATCATATAAATCGGACAAGGTGGTAAAGCATTATTGCTAAACATATATAAAAAAATAAAGATTTTGAGGATTTTCTCATGGACTCTATTATTAGATTTTGACTAAATTTATATGGGGCCACCCCTGAAGTACCCCCTTTCTAACAAAAGAAGAATCATTGAAATCGGACAACGTGTTAAAGAATAATCGCTGAACATACATAAAAAAAAATATGGCGACGAATTGATAACCTCCTCCTTTATTGAAGTCGGTTAATTATTAAAAATTATTAAAAAAAATTAAGGATTATTTATTTAAACCCGACGTCTCCGCGCTTTGATATTTCATTATTCTTTTCATAAATATTTTAATGCATTTTCTAGAAAATAATAATCGTTTTCTATTCTCATGTTTATTGTTTGTCGGGTTCAAATTGTTTCGAGATAAGCTCGGACTTTGCGGATGTTCTGCAGGGCAGATGTTGCACATTAGGGCTACTTTTCGGGGTACTACATTACGTGAAAGTTTAGAGGAAGCGTTACTTAATCTTTCTTTACCTAATACATTAGGTTAAAGGGTAAATTAAGGTATAAATTGCGCATGTGAACGTACGAATCCTTCTAGCCTTCCTCAAGTCCAGTAACATAATGTTCTGCGATAATATTTCCAACAAGTATGTTAGCTCTGTATCTGTAAAGTATAAAGGGTGGGTTATCCTACGGCACTTAGGCCTTACTAGGCCCATTGTGCATCCTCCTAAGATGATAAGCACCTCCTAGCTCGTGAGCCAGCCTACATATTTAATGTAGTTGACAACGTCGCCAAGAGATGCTTCTCTTATATCGGCCAGTATTAACCGATGCTCTCCAAACACAAATCTTCTAATAAATGAGAGCGCCGAGCAATCGTAGAGGATATGCTCGATGGTCTCATCTTCTTCTTCGCACCCCCTGCAGAGTGCGGAATTTGACAGCCTCATGATATGGAGATGATTCCGTGCTTGGCAATGACCAGTCAGAATATCTGAGACTTGGAACAGATTCTTTCTAGTCATAGTGAAATATTCGTTTGCTGCAGTGTTGTTAGGATAACTTAAAAGCTCCCTGGCAACTTTGCAGTTTTTTGTTTCATTCTATGTTTCCTTGAATTTCAGTCAGTTACCTATTCTTTATCATTAATAACAATTTGATAGATGAGAAATACCTTTTTTACATTTTTAATGTCATTTGCAGAAAATAGCTAGGTATGTATTTGTTTTTAAATAATTTGACAATTTATGAAAAAAGGGAGTAAAAGTCAATACAATGTAGCATATATTTCTATTATAACGTAACTAAAATATTTACACATTTTAATCATAAGGGCACAAGTTAAAAACCATTTTAATATATGTTTTAGAATGAAGTAATATTAACTTATTAAAGAGACGAGGTCTTAAAGTAATAGCTGGTATAGCATGTTTTTTAAACATTTCCTAGTTCCTGCTAGAATGAAGTCACTTTCTATGAAATGTGCACTAAAAACAGCGTTTCAGTTTTAGGATCTCTTCCTAAAGCCCTTCTTCCAAGCTGCATACCTATTAAAAGTTATTCTAAAAGAACATGATATATAACTATACCAGAGAGTTGATAGTCGTTGCTGACTAGTTAATAATTAAACCAGTAATTAGTGGGGAATGCAGCAAATGAAAGAGTACTTTTTTAAGTTTATTCCAAGCTTTCGGAAATGTTTATTTCCATCATCAGGGAGACTAAAATAAAATAATACCACATATTATGATAAAGTAATGTAAAAAAATTTTTTTGTCATCACTTACATCTTAATTAAGGTTGTTCATTTTGGTGGTATTATTAAGTTTAGTGTAAAAATACAAAGTAAAATGGACAAGCTGAAGTCAATTACAAAATAATATTATACACAAACAATAACTACGATACTTTAAAAATTAAAAAAATATAAATAACGAAAGGTCAATTTGACAATTTGACATAACAAGTAAAATTTTAAATAAATAACAAGTTATTAGAGGTTAGGAAATAAATGTGGATAATGCTATGTTTACATACCATTAATATTTTTTAAATGTTCAAAGAGTGATTTTTATATTAAATTAGCTCTGTATTATTTAAATTATGAATTTGGTTTGGTTTATTGTCCAAATCCAATAAATAAGAATAAATTACACTTAAATTGTTAAGATCTGTCTTTTTGTTCATAGAATTTGGTTCCTGTGAAATGAAAGCCATCTCCAAGAAGAGTCTTTTATGGTAGTTATTTTCAATGGCTAATAATAACTACTCATTATTACCTAAAAAAAGGAGGCGTCTGACTATTACACCACAAAACCATACACTTTTTCCCATTGTTGCAAGAACCCGATGACGATTAGGTAGATATCAACCATAAGCAGGTAATTATTGGTTACGAAGCTTATTTTAACACACAAAAAGCAAAGCGCTAATCAAAAAGCAGCAATCAAATATAAATAGACCACACAATTAAAATTCAAATTAAAATCTATAACTATAAAAGTCAAATACTCTAAAAATGCAAAAGATCAGAACCTTAAAATCCTACTCAAAATTGCAAAAGCTAGTACTATAAAATCATGTGATTACATCAATAATGCGTATGCGTCGAAGTATCGCAAATGTCAAAAGTACAGTGTTTTCATGAAAATTTAGCTATGTTTTTAGTAACATTAGAGGACCATTTCTACCACGCGTACCCAACGATATTGGCGTTCCATTTCAATAGTTCACTGTCTGTTCCTCACACCTCTTGTATAAATGATTTGATATAACGAAACTAACAATAATTATAATTAATGTAGAGTAGGCTTGTGTCAAAACTATAAATAAATTTTAAAACTAACCAGCCATAAATGTTTCGGTAATTCTATATAAAATAATTATTTTATAAAAGTGTAAAAGGAAATGTTATTTATTTCCCTATTTATCTTTTGTAATTTCTTCAATTATTATGTTTTATTTCTATAAATAAACCAACTAGTGAGGTGCTACATTATGATATATGATTTTATTTGTGTGTCCTATGCATACACTTTTATATACAAAACACTTGGGACATTTTTTAAATAGTTATGTACATAACTCGTTGGAAAGTGTATTTTATGCACCTGCCAAATATATTATCCATACTCACAGAATAATCAGAAATTTTTTTATATACCTCTTATTACTAGAACTATTTTTATCACTGGAAAAAAGGAGCCGTGTTTTCGTATGTTCTGACGCATTTTCGGCCTCAACCCATCGGACCCCCTCGCTCTCTATCCACGTTTGCTGACTGGGAAAATAAATACCGAAAATCGTCACGGTCTCCTAGACTATACAGTCCTCTCACTCAGACTTAGAAATGGGCGTGATGTCTTTACGACAAATACACTTTTATCAATGGCTAGTTGTGGATGTGGATCTACTAGACGGTTTATAGATTACAATATTAAAAAAAAAATCAAGAAATTTCACGAGATTTTTTGATATAATCCATCAATAAAAATTCGATACTGACACTAATCGATACCTACAAAATTGTACATTATTATGAAGTTGACCACCGGAATTTTCCATAATCTAGCTAGAATAAACGTTGTTCGGTTACTATTGAATACCAAAGATAATTAAAACTATTCAGTGAGGCATTGCAAATGAAAATGGTATACAAGTACGGAAGTAGCATTCATTAACTATCGATAAATATTAATGGGCATGAACTTACAATATCAAACTCTGTAATATAGGCGTTCATTAATCGCAGCAGTTCCCGCTCATCCAGAATATCCGGCAGTTCGTTGTCGGTGATAATTGAGGCAAACATAACGGCCACGTTATTGTGTTCCTCGAAGTACAGCTCTTTTTGTTCCCTGTTAATGTCCAGATATAAAACGGCTGGAATGGAAGAATTATAATCGTTAGAAAAAAGTATTGTTTGCTCTTTCTTATTGTAAAAAAAGACGTTGGCAATGTCAGTTTTCTTAGGGGCCATCATTAATTTTGTATTATCCTTAAAATGGGGCCAGTGCAACTTTTTTATGAAGAGAATATATATTATTATGACATATTTTTTATTACAAAATCAATTCGGAGCATAGACAATACCTACATAACATCAATATATAATGAATATACTAAGAACGTTCTATTTATGCCCTTTTTGGAATGTATATAGAACATTCCTGTAATAACTTTAAAAGTATATTCTAGAAAGCATATACTGAGTACGTTCTTTAATACATTATAAATAGTATATACCAAGTACGTGCCTTAAGTCTATTCTAAAAAGTATATTCTGAGCACATGCTTCTACAGAACATTTTTAGACGATACTAAAAGTCATATACCTAGCATGTACTTTATAGTTTAAATGCTTACAGGTAAAAACCATTATAGTAATTATTGGGAAGACGCCCTCTTTCTTAAAAATCCAATATTTTTAAAAAAACCTATATTTTAGGCTTTAGAAAGGAAAGTACTTTTCAAATACCATCGAAAATCCCATAAATCTTTCTTTCCTTTTTTTATTTTCTATGTATTAGGGACCCAAGAGAAATATTTACGTCAACTCATTCTTAAAATTAGTGCCCAATTAAAATTAACTAAAAAAAAATATTAAAAAGTATCTGATTTTTGGCATAACATTACCAAACACTTTAAAAAGAATTACTTTTAGTGCCAGTAACTGTATTTTCCTGACAAACCTTCATCATAAAAACACACGCATTTTAACTATCTAAAAAGCGAGTGCGCTTATTGGCCAATATTTCGAACTTCGTTTTTGCCTTATGGTATAGGCGTTGTATGAAGATAATATAGTAGGATAATGCAACAGTAAAAAGTGTTGGATGCAATCTCGAGCGGCATCTAGTGACGATTTAATGAAGTAGTCAATTTTTAATGCTATGCAGATACGCAGTCTACGTCTTCTTTCTACCTATTATAGTTAAACATTATCTTTATTTATTTAAAAATAACAATTTATGATAAAAGACATGAAAATTTAAACATAATAATGAAAATTTATTCCAGTTGACAAAACCGTACAAATACAATTTTTGGATTAAGGTGATAAAAAGTGGTTAAGGACTTTGGTCAATATTTTAGTTATGTGCGGTTGTCAAAATATATAAACAATAACAAAGAATACCTAATACCAAATGATAACAATGTCCAATGTTTTAAATAAATTGAAAAGTTCCAAGTAGAATACAAAAAAAGGAATAAGCTTCTGAAAATGTTACATGTAATCTAAGTACCTCTAATTGGACTAAGTGTTGGAAAAGTTTATAACCATAAAAATAGCTAAATATTTTTATAGTTTTCAAAATGTGAACAAGCTTTGCTACAAAAAAAATTTCATCAAAGCTATCAACAGTTTGCAAGATATTGAGTTAAGGAACAAGAAAATCACTAATCAGGGAAAAATCAATCAGCACTGGAAAACAAATTAAAAAAAATAGTCACAGGGATATATTAGCGACTTCCAAATGTATCTTGTCTGTTGATCATGAATATAAGAAAAAATGTTATCTCGACTGACTCTGAGTGTTGAAATAAATCACCTTGAAAGAAAGTTTTTAATATCTCCGCTCTTTAGGAATAGCTCAAGACGAAATCGATAGACCTACAAGTGGTCTATCTGTGGTGTATTCAGTTAGTCTTTATGTTTCATTATGCAATGTTACAAGGTTCAACAACTTGCCAAAATGGTTAAAATTTATTTCCAAAATCAGTGCTCTTATTTAGTACAGAATTCTACGAACGACACAATAATTATAAAGTCCTAACTTTGAACATAAAAGAAAATTTTATAAAAAACATTTTTTTTATATAATTTATCACTGTTTGGAAAAGTATATTTGTTTGTAAATATTTGTATTTATAGTTATATTTAATCCAGGTTAAGTGTCAGTGCGGGAGGGTAATGTTGAGTATATACAAAATCCGCCCATTCTGTTTATACGTTTGGTTACTGACCCTAGTAGATAGGCAATTTGTTATTACTTTTAATTTAGATTTTGGATTAACGTTTTTGTATGACTTGGCTGTTTAGTAATAAATGAAGTCAAAACTGTAACAAGTGGTTTTATTCTGGAAAGTATTTTTAAATTGAATCAGGCACGCCGTTCGAGTGAAAATGTTTAAAGTAGTTCAAAACAACAATCACTATTTTTAATTGTTTATAGAATACAGCCTTTTAGTTAGCTCAGACAAAACTGATTAAATAAATAATGTCTTATTATTTTTTGAATTTTTTTTATTTCGACTGTTTGAGTATCTCAAAAATTAAAGCCAATCAAGCAAAACGTGAGTCACATTTCGCTTTTTTAGAAGAACAATAAGGCAAGTGAAAATTAATGATTCCACAGAAATAACAAATTAAAAAAAAATGTAATATGAAACTTACAACTAAGGTGTTAAGGAAAAGTTTGGAAATAATCGAGTTAGCAAATTTATTTTAGTTTTAGACAGAACTACTTTATTTTATTCTTCTTAAAACTATTGAAGATTTATAGGCTGGAGAAGCGATTTAAAATCGGTAAAACGATCATCCAAAAACGCTCTTAAACCCCCGTCCACAAAATCACTGTTGACCAGTGTAATTTATAAATATATTCACACATAAATTTACAAGCAAATTAAACAAAAAAATATTTAGGAATAGTAATATTAATAATTGTTATTAATTGAACTGAATATTTAGTCCAATAGGCTCTCGACCGAAGTCCTTTCCCTTTTTAGAATATCTTTCAAATTTAACAATTTTACATGTTTTGTTCCAACGCGGATTTTAATAATAGATTTATAAATTGTTTTTTTTTATTTGAATGTTAAAAGTTCTTAAAACTAACTTTAACATATATTTCCCATGCTGGCGTTTAGTGTTCAAATAATGAGACGTTTAAACGAGAGCCAGTTGCCCTTTTTTGGTACACATTTGTGCAAGACAACTTTACAAATGTTTCCTTCTTTTTTCTCTTGTAGAAGATGGACACACCAGCACTGGAGAGCACAATGATGGTATTTTAAAAAGCCACGTCACATATTTGATTAGATAATTAACTTGATATAAGTGCCTTCATGACTTAAGTCATTAAGCGTTCAAGTTTTGATTTCCCAACCCGGATTCAATTACAGATAAAAACATTCTTTTTTATTTTGGAAAAAAATATGAAAAATACAATTAATGCAATCTTTCTGCTAAATTTTATAGTATTTTGATAACAGTTCAAAAAAAATAGTAGTAGTCAGTAACTGAACTTCATGAAATCCAAAGTTGAGCACTAAACGTCCTGAGCAATGAAGGTTTTTGTCAATTTATCTCTGTATCTAATCAAACATGTAACATTCGCATTTTCTATAAATTATTTTTTAAGACGCATTCGTTGAGCGCTTCATCACTGTAGGGCATGCAGGAAATTATTTCCATGTAGAAAAAAAAATAAATGAAAAATTTGTAATTTTGCCTTTCGAAAATAATACTCCTAAATATGCTACTGATTCCGCTACCATAAATTGGTACTCGATTCGTTTTCAAATGGTGGTAAAAGTTGAAAATTAAAAATTAGTGACTTACATGTTTTTATTACTTAGTATAATTTCACTAAACGTGTTTGTTATAAGTTTACCTAACAGCAAAAAAATCTGTTAGTAAAATTTTGTCAAAAAAAAAAAAAAATATCGCGACGAATTGATAACCTCCTCCTTTTTTGAAGTCGGTTAAAAATAAACAGCGTAAAACTAAAGTAAAGTTTTAATTAACCATCAGCGATCAATCCAAAATCCAACCACAATATAGAAAAAAATGTTCCCCTATTATAGTAATATTCCACCCAATCTTAACTCATTCAATCTTTTCCAAACAAAAACTGGTTTATTTTTAACCGACTTCAAAAAAGGAGGAGGTTATCAATTCGTCGCGATATTTTTTTTTTATGTGTGTTCAGCGATTATTCTTTAACACGCTGTCCGATTTGAATGATTCTTTTTTTGTTAGAAATGGGTACTTCAGGGGTGGTCCCACATAAATTTAGTCAAAATCTAATAATTGGGTCCATGAGAAAATCCTCAAACTCTTCATTTTTGATGTATGTTTAGCGATAATGCTTCACCACCTTGTCCGATTTATATGATTCTTTTTTGTTAGAAAGGGGCTACTTCAGAGGTGGTCCCATATAAATTTGGTCAAAATCTAAACATTGGGTCCATGAGAAAATCCTCAAACTCTTCATTTTTTATGTATGTTTAGCGATAATGCTTTACCACCTTTTCCGATTTATATGATTCTTTTTTTGTTAGTAAGGGGATACCTCAGGGGTGATCCCATATCAATTTGGTTAAGATGTGGTGATGGCATCTGCACGTTTTTGAAGTCGGTTTTTTTAAATTTTTACTTTACATTTGTATTATATTGATTTTTTTTGCATTTTATGTGACCTTCAAATACCCTTCTGTAATAATTTGCAATAGTAAATACTAAATAGTAACTATAAAAATACATTACCGAAGACAAGTATAAATGAAAAAGAAGATTTTAAATTATAATTCATACTCAAGCACAGACATGACCTAAAGACCTGACTTGGACCACAAATACAGTATCGCCATCTACATTCTATGTCCATCGTCCTCCAATGATATGTCCATAAGGTTACCCTACTATATTATCTTCATACAACGGTATAGGTGTAAAAAGGGTGCGTCTGGCGCGACGTTTCGAAAATCACGCGCGTGAATTTCAAAACATAATTCCTTAATAATTTTATTTTGTTTTGTACAAAAAATTTCATTTTTAAGAAAGGGGCGTCTTCCCAATATTCATCAAAATTAACACGAAAAATAAAAACACAATTATATACCTAACAAATTTCTTTTTTTTTTTCATGTTTGAG